CATTTTTTAAAAAAGCTGACATAGAGCACACTGAATTCAATCCCCAGTACCACAAGGAAAAAAAAACAAAAAAACTGAAATCATAATCAAAGACTGTTCCCCACTTACACTCTACCTCTCCGGGATCCAAGGTCTCAGGAGTGTGCTGCTATGATGTTTGACCAAAATTTACTGAACAGAAAATGTCCAACTTGTATGAAAACAGTGACACTACACAGAAAAATACTAAAAGCTAACCAGCTCTGTCCACAAAGCAAACATTCCTGATAACAACATCAGCCAAGTAAATCACAACAAAAGATAAGCCAGGCTCACTTAAAAGCTTAGCTGCCAACATCCCACATACAACATCAGTAAATAAGACTACATATATTATGGAACACAATACACTTTCACCCTTTCCTGACATCATACATAAAAATTAAACCAAAAAAGTAGACATAGTGATATACACTACAGTTAAAACTTTAAAACACGTAGAATCAAACACAGGAGAGGCTCTTTTGTGACCATGGGGTAGACCAGTGTTTCTCAGTTGGGGAAGATTTTGCACCCCAAGGGTCATGTGATATGTGTGGAGCCAGACGCAATGCCCGTAATCCCAGTAACTCGGGAGACTAAGGCAGGAGGATTGCAAGTTCAAGGCCAGCCTCAGCAACTTGGTGAGGCCCTAAGCAACAGAATGAGACCTAGTCTCAACACACACACACACACAAAAAAAAAAAAAAAAAAATTAAAAGGGCTGGGGATGGAGCTTAGTGGTAAAGTATGCCCAGGGCATTCCCAGTACCAGAAAAAAGAAAAATGTATGGAGATGTTTCTCTTTGCCTACATTGGAGGAGGGGTGCATGGTGGAAAGCGATCTTGGCATCTAGTGGGTAGAGGCCAGGGATGCTGCTTAACACTTGAAATGCAAAGGAAAGCCCCCTCCAACAAAGAATTATCTAGCACCAATAATAACAGTGCTGAGGTGGTGAAATTCTGCAGCAGATGAAGATTTCTCAGGCTACAAAAAGTTATGAACCATTAAAAAAATAGGTAAGTTGGAGTCATAAAATTTTAAAAGTATCTGCTCTTCAAAGGACATCACTTAAGACTGGAGGAAAGCATGACACATGTAACGTATCTAAGAAAGGGCCTGTGCCCAGAGCCCCTAAGAAATTCCTCAAACCCAATAAGGAGACCCAAACAAACCATTAAGGGGTGGGGGAGGCAAGACATTATTTCTACAAGACACTCCAGGTGAGTCTGTATGGTGCATAAATACAGCAAGATATTCAAGATCACTAGGTATCCCAGAAAATACAAGAAAAGATGCTCTTTTCTTGTCCAACACCATGAGCAGCAGGAATATGAAAATCAAAACACTGCGATACCTGATAAACACACTAGAATGGCTAAAATTCAGACTGGCAAACCAGCATGGTAGCACACACCTGCAACCCCAGCTCCTGGAAGGGCTCAAGCAGAAGGACACTGGCCAGCCAGGCAGCACATCAACACTGATGCCAAGCGTTAAAAGGGCTGGGGATGGAGCTCAGGGGTACAGTGCTTGCCTAGCATACCCACGGCCCTGGGGTTCAACCCCCTCCCCCAGCCCCGTGCTGGGGGGGGTGGGGGAGGCAAGACCAAGTATTGACAAGGATGTGGAAAAGTGGAATCTCACTCATTGCTGGTGGGAAAGCCAAGTGGACAACACTTCAGATCACAGCTTGGCAGTTCCCATAAACTCAAGCAGCTATTTCTACCTCCCCTACACCATCCATGACCAGCTGGGACATTACCAAGAAATCTCCACGGCTGGGACAATCCAAAGAAGAAAAGAAGACCACACACAAAAGCCCCCTCAAAGTGATGAGATGCACTCTGCCACTGGACCCAGTTCTGAAACTGCTGAATTCTCTCTGCCCAGTACAATACAGTTGATGTGCCACGGTGGAAATAGAGAGGATAACATCTAAAATTATTTTTCTCAGCCCTGTCTTCTAAAAATCTTTCTTTCTATGAAACTTTGATAAAAGATGTGAAGCCAAATTAGACATTCATTCCCTAGGAATCTGTTGCAATGCTGTTCTAAGAATTAATGCATGAGGCCTAATGTAACCATAATTATCAGTCATAGACTTCTGCACACATTTATGGTTAAAAGAAACCTATATACACAAATGGATGTGATCCAAGCTAACATGTGGCCCAGATTAGGCATATAAGCACTGTTCCTTTTGAAAAACTGCAGGAGGAAAAAAAAAAAAATCCTTAGAGATAGCAACTTAACCAACCTCAACTCCCAGCTGGCTTCATTATTCTCTTGTCCTCAATAAAATAAAAACTTTCCAGCATTTATACCCTTACACCTAAAAGATTTGGGGAAAACGTGTTCTGTATGAATTTTAAAGCATCTAACTACCTAAAGTTAAGCCACACCAGTGCATTTATCTTATCAGTACACTTAAGATTCACTGATTAAGGATGTTAACATCTAAGTGAAGGGTGAAAACTTGCTTTTATATACATAATACAGCATCTTACAAAATTTAAAGCATGTGGTAGTAAATATAGGAACAGACCGGCAGAGAGCATTTTGGTCACTTCTGATGGTTTTGCATGGCCTGGCCTCTGCCCTCTCCTCTTGTTCTCATTGATCCTGCCCCAATGACCTTCGGACATTCCTTCCCACCCCAGGAGCTCTGCCCAGGCCAGTCACACTGGCCTCAAGAAACAAGTCCTTTCTATTGTCTCCCAGGAAGCAGCTGAGGACAATCACTAACTTTTCCCACATCGCAGGGCTCACCTGGCACAGCACTCCTCCTGCCACTCACAAAACATATTACCGAATCTCTTCACAGAACAAACACTTATTTAAAGTGCTGCTTGGAGCCAACTACACTTGCGGGGCTTTGCCACGCTGTGCAGGAGCAGGCCTCTCCACGTGCACAGCGGTCCTGAAAGCCACGGCCAAAATGGTTCCTCCAGTTTCCTTCACCTCTCCCAAAAACCAACTGCACCAGAAACTGCACCACACCCCAGGAGTGAAGCTAGGGCCACTGCAGTCTCCACGTGCAACTATGAGGCAGTGACTGGGGAAAGGTCATGTGAAAACCCACCTCTGAAGTGATTGGCAGGTTTGCTGTCCTGAAGAAATCTGACAAAAAACACCAACTTTAGAGCGATTCCACGACCAAGAGGTTACATCTTACACTAACAATGCTCATCTACCTAAGAACCCTCCCTAGCACTGGCCATTATGCCACAGGTAACTGTGGCTGGAGTATGTAGTTACAAAGGCTCTTCATACTGGATTGTGGGCCCGTGTTCCACTTGGAGATAAGGTGAGTGAACACAGGTTCTAGACACTGTGGTGACTAACCTAATGCACAAGTGAAGGCCCCTGAAACAGCAATGTCATTCTCCCCTCAAGGCCAAGTTAAACTTTAGCTGTTAAAAAGCGAATATGCAATTAGCCAACAAGACCAAAACTTCAACTTGACCATTAGTGCAACTGTGCTAATTTCTTGTTGATGTTCTTGGTTCAAGTAGTCTTTTTTTTTAATATCTTTATTTTGCTTATATATTTTTATGTGGTGCTGAGGATTGGACCCAGTGCCTCACATGTGCAAGGCAAGCACTCTGCCACTGAGCCACACTCCCAACCCCTCAAGAAGTCTTTAGTCCAAAATTTCCTGCTTTATAAGTGTGTGGGCCTGAACTTGCCTAAATTGCCTCCCTTCCTCCATATCATGAATTTGTTGCTGCAACAATGTATCTTCTCACAGTTCAGGAGCCTACAAACTACAGAACAGCAAACTCCCTCCCACCATCCTCCCCTCCCCTAAAAAAGGTAAACAAATAAAGAATAAATAAACCCAGATGGGTTTCTATTCAGGTCAGCTTCAACCTCCCTAAAAGAATAATTCTGCAAATTCTGAATTCAAAGTGCCATTTTTAAAAACTACATCTGATAAAAGGTAAAATAAGGACCCCATAAACCCTAGCTCAGCTCAAAGTAGACTCCACTTTATTCTGAAAAGTCATCTGCCAAAAGAGAAACTGTTGACTGTTCAGAATTTTCGTCCTGCTTGCTTTTTACCCAAGTTTAAAAAATAAATAAAAGCTGGATTTTTCCATCAATCTAAACAGTCCAGAGAAGGTCAGAAAACTCCTGGAATTGGCAGTTCCCCAGGCCCACCTCCTGGTCCTAGTGGAACACCAACAAACCTAGATAGGACCAGTGATTACACAATCCCGGTTCCCAGAGCAGAAGACTCCAGGAGAATAATCCACCCCGGAGACAATGACATCATGTGAGCAACCAGACAGGAAGTTGGCTTGGAGAAGTGAGGGGGTAAAGTCTTGAAAGCCAACACAGGATGACCATCCCCGACCCCCAGTTAAAAGAATTACAAAACAAAGTCATATAAGGCCAAAAACCCACTTAAAGAAAAAAATGGAAACCCGTAAGTAGGAAATCAATCAGCAAACGAAACCAACACGACCCAACTGCAAGGCCATATGCGTGGGTTCCGACTCACTGGTGAGTCTTTCCACACTTGGGGGCCTAGCCAAAGCCTCGCTGGTGGAACTTTAATGGAAACATGCAGTGGGTCAAAAGCAAAGCCTCCTCCAACTTCGCAGACGCACTGGTGTGAGAGGGCAGGCGCTGGGCGAGACGAGCCATAGAGTGATACCCAGTCGGGTCGGGCGGCCGGCGGTCGCACACAAAGCCGCCCTGACTTAGTGACAGCCACAAGTGGCCAGGCACAGGGCTCCGCGGGCCAGCGCTAGGACGGCGCGTCCTCCCGCGCCCCCCGCCCGCGCGCACGGGACCCTACGGTCTCTTCTCGGCCACCACGCAGGCAACTTTCCCTCGGGGGCGGGGCGGATCCAAGCATGGACTACGGGCGACTTGGAGACCAAGTCCCTCCCCGAGCGCTCCCTGCCCCCCACCCCGGCCCCGGCCGAGCGCACCGCGAGCGAAGCCTGCGCCCCGGCGGGCCACCTACCTGCACAGCTCCGGGAACTCCGCGGCCTGGGCCTGCGCGGTCCCCGGGGCCACGACAAGCAGCAGCAGCTGAAGCAGGAGCAGGGCGCGCGGCAGGCGGCCCGCGGGCGCCGGCCCCAGGTGGGCGCTGCAGCCGGCGGCGACCCCCATCGCGCCGGGCCGGGGCTGCGCGGCGGGCGCGGGGCAGGCGGCCGGCGGCTGCTCGGGGCTGCGCCGGGGGCAGGGTCGCGTCTCCAGGGCGGAGGTGGAGCCGAGGGCGAGCTGGAGCTTGAGTGAGAGCTGCAGCCGGGGGGGAGCGCGGCTCGGCTGGGTTCAGCGGCGGCCCGGAACCGCGTCACGTGACCGCCGCCCGGCACCGCCCCCGCCCCCGCCCCCCGCTCACGTGACTCCCTTGTTCAGGTGATCGCGGCCCTCGGGGCTCCGCCCGGTCCGGGTCACGTGAGCGCGGCACGCGCTGGACAGGAAGCGGCGCGGGCGGGGCGCGCCAGGTGCCCGCAGGGGCCTGCGCTTCCAGGCTGCGGTCAGGGTTCTCGAGCCCGGCCTCAGTTTACCCTGCCGGCGCGCCCGTCTGGATCCAAGCGTGGCCGCTTCCCAGCTTAGAACAACCGTCCCAGGCCTCGACCCCCTGGGAGGGCAAAATGAGGGGGCTTGAGTCGAAGTGCCCTTGCAGAAAACACCTTAGCACAGCCGTGTCTGCGGATCCGTAGGCGTAAAGAGCACGATTTTCCTGGAGCCCTGCACTGTGTGCCCAGCCTTTGCCCTTGAGGGACTCACACACCTTCAGTGAAGATGTTATTCCCAAGCATGGGCTTCCTGCAGCAAGGAAGGCGACACAGAGCAACAAGCAGTACGATATAAATGGAAGGGAACACTATCAAGCAAGTGCCACTTGACAAAGGTTTATTAATTCCTACATTCAGATGTCATCTCGAGGCCATACTAAGGAATGGCTGTGAACTAGGCACGGTGAAAGTAAGATAAATCTGGACACTTAAGCCGAAGCTTGCATGCTTTTGGAAAAGTAAAGATACAGGGATTGGCGTATAGCTGAGATGTACAGTGCTTGCCTTTATTTTACCCATTTTACAGGTAAGAAAATTGAGGCATGCAGAAATTAAGTAACTACGTGATGGTGTACGTAGTGAATGGAAAAAGCTAGGGTTTGAGCCCAATTCAGACAGTGCCAGTGACATAGCCGATGTGCTATGTAGCATGCGCTCTGCTGTATAGCCTAGAGTGGCTCCCAGGGAGCAGCTCAGATGTCAACTGTGGGCATCAAGACAGGGTTGGTGTTTTGCAACTGCATGTTATAATTGAAAAGACAAGGGTCATCACTGACAACCAACAAGTGAAGAATTATTGTGAACCAGAATTTTATCTGTGTCTTCAAATATTACCCCAAAGTCTGTTTCCCTGGTAAAGGGAGATCTTTACAATGAAAAGATCTGGCATAATCACCTAAATCATGTAATTAAAATTAGTATCCAATTTTTTTTAAAAAACTGGCATTTTCTGCTTTTTGAAGTGATACAATGAAAATTTGTGAAGGATAAAGGAGGGTAAAATCATGACTCAGATGCAGATGTGAAATGAACATATGTCAAAGATACTCTTTAACTGATTAATGTGATAATCAGCAATGTTATATCTGATTCAACAGAGAATACAAAGAAAATCCAGCACATATGTAGAAAGTCAGGAATGCTGAAATGAAGTTGGTCACAAATCAACTGTATACCCAGTGGACACAACTTGTGTTTTTGACATCAATCATACATATCACCATCAGTATCTACAATTTACATAGTTATAAATACCTCAAAGAGAATAAAAAGTACATGATCCCATGGAATCAGATTATTGTATCCCCCCTTTCCACGGTTTCAGTTTTCCAGTCCATCTTGCTCTGAAAATATTATGTGGATAGTTCCAGAAACAAATCACTCATAAGTTTTAAATAGTTTCATTAAAAAATTGCTATAATTATTCTGATTTGTTGATCCTTTACAGATCCTAATTTATAAACTTTCTCATATGTATGACAGAAAAAAACAACATAGTTCACAGTACATACAGTCCAGTTTCAGGCAAGCACTAGAGGTCTTAGAGCATATCCCCTGCAGATAAGGAGGAACTATTGAAACCCACAAGGGTTTACTAGACAACACTAGCTTTCTGCTGAAATTGACCAGTAATACTTTTAATCCATTTCAAAGTCTTTCACAAGTTTTCCATACAGTACACAATATCACTTAGATAGTATTCTTGCCAAGAAGTTTAACTTATATCTAGTTGGGATAAAACAATAAATTCATACTGGGAAACATTCTAAAAGAAAAGTGAAATGGACAATTCCAAAATGTTAGAGTTCAAAAAACACCACTGCTCCTCCCCCCAAAATGGGAGCACTGTTGTAGTCAAGGTGGCAGCTGTAGCCAGTGGTCTCACCAATCCAGGTAGTTGTTTTTGTATATGAAGTTTTATTGGAGCTCATACACAACCAATTTCCCCGGGTGTTGTCTGACTGCTTTTGACTACCATGGCAAAGTTGAGTAGTTGCCACAGAGACCATGGCCTGAAAAAGTCTGAAGTATTTTATGTTTTATTATCTGGCTCTCCGCTGGAAAAACTTGTCTACCTCACTGGTTCTCAAAAGTGAGCCCTTACAATAGCCACTTTGGCATCACCTGCCAAGTTGTAGAAATGCCAATTTATGAGCCCCATCCCAACCTAGTGAATTAAAATCTCTGAAGATGAGACCCAGAATTTGTTTGTTGTTTGTTTATTCTATTATTTATTTTTGCTGCTGGGGATTGAACTCAGAGTCTCACATATGCTAAGTACACACACTACCACTGAGCTACAGGCTCAACCCCAGGAAATTGGGGTTTTGTTTGTTTTTAGTCTTGAGGGGGGCATTTTGTTTTATGTTTTTGGTGGCATTGGGGATTGAACCCAGGGCCTTGTGCACACTAGACAAGTGCTCTGCCGCTGAGCTACATCGCCAGCCCTTTGATTTTTAATTTTGAGATAGTCTCACTAAGTTACCCAGGCTGACCTTAAACTTGTGAACCTTGTGTCTTGATTTCCCAATTAGCTGAAATTATAGGCGTGTGCCATCAGTCCGGCTCCTGGAGTTTCTTAATAAAGAGGCATGATAATAAAATGCTACGCATGTTCTATAATTGAAGCCAAAAACCCAAGAAAAAAAAGGTTTAAGAGATATTTGGAGACAATAGGAGCATTTTTAATATAAACCATATATTAGAAACTCCAAGGCTGCTGGAGGCAGTGGCACATGCTTGTGATCTCAGAGGCTCGGGAGGCTGAGGCAGAAGGATCATGAGTTCAAAGCCAGCCTCAGGAACGATGAGGCGTTAAGCAACTCAGTGAAACCCTGTCTCTAAATAAAATTCAGAATAGGGCTTGGGATGTGGCTCAGTGGTCGAGTGTCCCTGAGTTCAATCCCCGGTACAAAAAAAAAGAAGTAAGAAACTCTAAAGCTGCATCGTATAAGAAATAATTCTTTTGTATTTCACTTAAATTTTGCAGCAAATCTTTGAGAGAACAGACTCAGAGACATTAGTCCAAGACCCTCTGAACTGTGTCCCCCAAAAGATATAGTGCTAACTGCTAGTATTAAGAATGTGGGCTTATTTGACAATAGGGCCATTGCTAATGGATTAGGTAGGAAGAACTGGTGCTGGAGTAGGGTGGGCTCTTCAACAGCATGACTGCTGTTCTCCCACGAAGTGGGAGGAGCCATACATGAGAACAGGGGACTGGAGCATCTGTGAGCCAAATGGCGCCTAAGGCAGCACCAGGGATAGGAGAGAAGCCTGGAACAATAGTCCTCTGCACCTTCAAAGTGCAGGCCCAAGCCCACACCTTGATTTTGGACTCTCAGCTTCCAGAGCTGTGAGAATAAATTTCTGTTGTCTGAAGCCACCCAGTGGCACTTTGTTATGGCAACTCGCAGACACAGCTCCACCCCTCAACTAATGGGACAAGTCCAAGCTTGGAATCCAGGTGCTCCAACCACTATATTATTGCAATGGCTCAATCTCCTTGCTCCTGGCATTTGGCCTGGCTTTAGAAACACAAGCTCAAGTAATAGACCAAGGACAGAAACAGACCTCTGCTGAGGATGTCCCTGCACGGCGTCTTGTGCCTTAGCTCCAGCAGGTAAGGCCAGTAACCTCCCCTTTGAAACAGAAACCAGGAGCTGTCAGAGTGAGGATAAACAGGTCTCTGTCTCTGAAACTCAGGCAGACGCTTACAGAAAAATTTCAGAAACTTTTCAGAACACCCAAGACAGCCTGACTCTACCAAAAGACCCTGAAAGCACATTGTCATTCTTTTGGGTGCTCCTTGATTTCTAAGATGAGAAATAAACTGTTACCAAAGAATTATGTAGTGAATAATATTGAACCAATGTCAAGTATCTTGGGTAAGATAATGGTAATGCAATTACGTAGAGTGGCCTGGTTCTTAGTGATAAGTGTCATGATGTTGGCAATTTTTAAGTGATTCAGAAAAAAAAAAATGTTTGTAGACAGAAGACGTTAAAAAATATTAACCATTGCAAATGTAGGTGAAACTGTATCTGTACTCTTGAATTGCTTTTTCAGCTTTTCTGAATGAGAAGCTGGGAAAGAGATCCCATCATGGAAGAGATTGCTTTGGAGGTAATCCTGAGAGAATAAGTTAGAGCAGAATAGAGAAATGATGTCACAGGCAAGGCAAACAGCAAGTGCAAAGCCTGGTGAAGAGATAGCGAAGCTGTTGTGGTTGGGATAGGAGGTGTCTCTCCAAAGCTCCCATGTTAATACAGGAATGTTCAGAGGTGAAATTATTAGATTAGAGAGCTGTAGCCTAATCAGTCGTCCTTAGTGTGGGTGGACTGACCCTAGTAAATGCAGGCAGGTGGGTGTGGCTGGAGAAGGGGTCACTGGGGCCATGCCTGGAGGGTTCCTCTTCCTGGCAGCCCCTTCCTTCCTCTCCCCCCTCCCCCTTGGCTTCCAGGCTGCCATGAATGAAGCAGCTTCCTCCACCACACCCCTCCACCATGATGTTCTGCCTCACCTGGGACTCAGAGCCATGGAGTCGGCCACTCATGGACTAAACGTCTGGAACTGTGAGCCAAAATA